AAATTTTTGCACATGCAGCAGTACATAGCATGTATTTAGGCGCCTGGGGTTAGCAGACGCGCCTAAACAAAGAGAAACAAAAATACGTGTATGTTTCAAAGTTTTTATTTTTTAGAAACTTATTTTACTTTTTTATATATCTAATTTAATTTTTATATTTCATTGTATGAAAAAAAAAATTAATTTCAATTAGTTTTTAGAAACATGTTTGTATTCTTTTTTTAAAAACATTATTTTCTATTTAAATAAATAGTCTTTTATTTTTAGATTTCATTGCTTCAGAAAGAAACATATTTTTTTTAGTGTTGTTAAATTTTTAGTCATTAATTTTTTGTTCTTTTTTAAAATCAAATGGCCGTGTTCAGAAAAAATAAAATAGATTTAAAGAGCTCTATAAAGTGATATTTTCATACAAATTTTCGATTTATATAGCAGTTAGTCTCCTTTATTTTTTATGAATTTGGCTGTTATTTTTTTTCTTTCTTTTTTCAATAGAATTTTTTTTTAATTTAACTTTCTTTAAATTTTCTGGTTTTCATTGTACTAAAATCAAATACTTGTTTTTTTTTTTAATTCAATTACATTTTTCGAAAACTTATTGCTACAAGGGAATTAGAAAAACGCTAAAACCTCCTCTTTATCAGATCTTTCAATTAGACTTTCGAAAGACTGAAAAGAGCTTTCAAGATAATTGCTAGAATTTCCCTGTTAGTCTCAATGTCGATTTCTCAGTTGATTCTTCGCATTACGTCTATGGAATACAGGTTAGGCATTTTTTTATCACTGCCGTGGGAGTGGTGCCCAACGCCACCAAGAGCGGAGCGCTACTATGTAGGCGCCTATATGTTTAACTGACTGTTCAGTTAAGAGACTTTAAGTTATAAATCCATCACTTTTGTACTATTTTCAATTATTATCAACAAAAAACTGATTGATAACCTAAAACTGCTAATCAAGCAAAATCAGAATCTTGTCCTAGTATTAAAACTACATTTAAAACGATACTTTAGGGAACAAATGTTTGTTACATTTGGCAAAATTTCCTTTCTTAGTTAAGATTTCAGCTGAATCAAATTAGCTGACCAAATTGTCACTGGCAATTTACATCTAGCAATTTCCAAAAGCAATTGTTTTGCAGCAGAAGGAATGTAAATTAACACATATGTAAGTATGTACACGCATGCAAGGACACAGACATTCGCAAAGCGACAATTGCTCAATAATTCATTTCGTTTTCATGCAACGCATTTAATTTGCTATAAGTACACCCACAGCCGCGCGCACACCGCCACCAAACAATTCGCCTGCAACCAGTGGCGGATTTACCGTAAAGGCAACATAGGCAGTTGCCTAGGGCGGCAAAATTTAGGGGCGGCAAAATTTGAGTTGGAAAAAAATCATTTTATTTTTTCAAGTTAGCTGCACTGTAAGTAGAATTTGTGTTTGTACATTTCAAGACATAAATTTGAGATTCAATTACGCAATCAGAAAATAGTACAACACTGTTAGTTGTTTTTGATATTATTTAAATGATAATATTTAAAAATACTAATTTAGTATTTTTGAGATTATAACTTATGAAGTGAAAAAAGTTTGTTGATGACAGCTTTCTTTAAACGTTGGACACCTTTACTCAAAGCAAATACCACTTTTTCATCTTAAATTTGAATAAAACTATAGTAAATAACATAAATTTGAATATTACTATTTACTGCTAATTCTTCCAAAACTGGTACTTTTACCTCAAAATATTTTTCATATCGGAAAAGGGCGGCAAATTCTGAATTGCCTAGGGGTGACAAATATTCAAATCCGCCACTGCCTGCAACAGTGACAATGCGAAAATCCGTTGCGCATTTCATTTGTTTGCGTCACAGCAGCAGCACCACCAGCAACAGGAACACCAGAGGCGGAATTGTAAGGCGAGCAAGAACATTTACCAAGCAACAACTAAAACTGATTTTAATTACAAAATTTGCAGTGCAGACATTGTTGCCGCCTTTGCTTTTGTTGTTGCTACTGCAACCAATGTTTTTTTGCACTTTTCGTCGAGCAACAAATGCACTCGGGCAATTGTAATGCTTGAGTAGTTGACTATTTTGTTGCATGCATCATTGCTGATTGTTGCATCTTCTTTGTTGCTGTTGTTGTTGTTCCAAAATTTTCATGTTTTAAATTGCATTTGGTGCGTAAACTACTTCAGCTGCGACCTTCAAATGCCAACTCGGCAGTTCTTCGCTTAAATGGTAATATACATATTTATGTTGTGCGGATATGCATTAGGGTGATCCAAAAAGAGTAAAGTCAGAATTTTAATGCTCGAAAGAAAGTATACAGCTATTTTTCCATGTATTTTATGTGGGGGAAAAACAACTTTTCGTTGAAATAGTATAGAATTTCTGAAAATCAATACTTTTCGATCGGAAAGCTCAGGTTCTCTTCAGGAGACTTTAATAGTAATACGCTATTGTTTATTTAACCATTTTTTAATACTAATGATTTTTTATTGGGGGGACCATTGTATTTATCTGGGTTTTTGGGGGGTTTTCGGCGGACCTATAAATTATAGTTACTAGGACAAAATGTTTAAATAAACATTTGGACATTATTACTGGGAATCTCTTGCAGAGAAACAGAGTTTTCCGAACAAAGAATATTGATTTTTAAAAATTCTATACCATTTCTCCGAAAAGTTTTTTTTTTCTTCTAAATATTTTTTTATTTCAAAATAAAAAAGGGGTATATTTATTCCGGTATAGAAGAATCCTAGGGGGTGAGAGCATAAAAATTCCAACTTTTTCACATGCATTATTGGACCACCCTAATATGCATACGTATGAACATCCATGCTACTGGCAGCCAACATAGAACGCATACGTTTGCAAATTGTTGCTGAGTATAAGCTAAAAAAAATACACAAGCCAATGGAACTGACTTTTCACTGCCCACATCCATGTACAGATTACATACATATTTAGATGCACGTCGGTATGTTTGTCACTTCGCTCACATCCATCTGGCTGAACGCCCTGGCATAGGCTACGTACGAATTGCCTACAAAAGTTGCAACATTGCATGTCAGAATGCAATTTGGTGGCCATAAATAGCTAAGCCACTCACACAAATGCATAACCCCACCCACTCACAATTCGCACACACATACACATACAAACATACATATTTAGTTCTGT